CCTCTAAGTTGACACATAAAATTAACCATCACAATTACATAATATAGTTTTTTGTTTTGGCCTTTGCCTTTTTTAGACAAAAGTGAATTTAATTATCTTCTGATTCTTTCCTCACTTGTGTCTGATCTATTCTTACTTCCAGTTACTGTATTTTTCAGTTTAAGAGTATCCAAGTGCGTATCTTTGACAGTTTCTAGGTCTCTGCTGGTCATCTGATTTCTTGGACATACTAATCACATTTATCTTAAAATCTGAGTTTGATAACTATTACCTAAATTCTCTCCAGGTATGTTTCCATTTGGTACTTTTTTCCTTTTTTTTTTTTTTTAAGATTTTATTTATTTATTTGTCAGAGAGAGAGAGAGAGCACAAGCAGGGGGAGCAGCAGGCAGAGGGAGAAGCAGGCTCCCCACTGAGCAAGGAGCCTGATGCAGGGCTTGATCCCAGGACCTTGGGATCATGACCTGAGCTGAAGGCAAACACTTAACCAACTGAGCCACCCGGGCACCCCCCCACACCTCTTTTTTTTTAATTCCATATGTAAGTAATACCATACTGTATACATCTTTCTCTGTCTTGACTATTTCACTCAGCATAATGCCCTCCCATTTCAAACATACTGTCACAAATGATAGGATTTCCTTCTTTTTTTATGGCTGAGCAATATTCCATTGTATATACCTACTATAGACGAAGAATTTCAGCTATTTTTTACAATCAGTCTGCCACAGGGGTCAGGGTCCCAAAGAAGCAAGTTCAACATTTGGTGGTGTTTGCATCACCACAGGATTTGCCAATTTGAAAGAAGCTGCTGAGAGAGAGGCTAAGCCCAGCTTTTGGAAGCCTCCTAGGACTGGGTGTGGTGGTGGTGGACAGAAATTAGACCTCAAAGCCCGCCAAGGAGAAGGCATCCTGAAAAACAGCCCAGGCATTAAGTTAGGACCCCCGAGGGACTGTACTCTAGAAATAAGGGTAAACATGAACTATATCACCCTTCACAAAGACTATACTCTCTAATCAAATCTGCTCAAATCTTGGTTGGACTAAGGCAGTGGTTCTCAAAGTGCAATCTTTGGACCCCTGAGGACTTTTTTAGGGAGTCAGGGAGGACACGATTATCTTTATAATAATACTGAGATGTAATTTGCCTTTTTTTTTTTTTTAAAGATTTTATTTATTTGACAGAGAAAGACACAGCGAGAGAGGGAACACAAACGGGGAGTGGGAGAGGGAGAAGCAGACTCCCCGCCGAGCAGGGAGCCCGATGCGGGACTCGATCCAGGGACTCCAGGATCATGACCTGAGCCGAAGGCAGTCGCTTAACCAACTGAGCCACCCAGGCGCCCTGCCTTTTTTTTTTTCTTTTCATATCTGCCCTGATGGTGTAAAGGCAATGAAAGATTAAGCTGCATACCCCTTGGAGTGAATCAAGGCAGTGGCATTGAGCAATATTAGTAATCATGGTTTTCTTCACCACCACACACTCAAAGTTAGAAAAAGGCAGGTTCACTTGAGACTGTCCTTGATAAAGCAGGGGAAACCGGGGCGCCTGGGTGGCTCAGTCATTAAGCATCTGCCTTCAGCTCAGGTCATGATCCCAGGGTCCTGGGTGTCTGCCTTTGGCTCAGGTCATGATCCCAGGGTCCTGGGATCGAGCCCCACATCGGGCTGCCTGCTTAGCGGGAAGCCTGCTTCTCCCTCTCCCACTCTCCCTGCTTGTGTTCCCTCTCTCTCAGTGTCTCTCTCTGTCAAATAAATAAATAAAATCTTTAAAAAAAAGGGGGGGGAAGGGGAAACCATTACTCTTACTAATTTCAACTCTTGAGTACACGTCTTTTGTAAGGTATTAAAGTACTTCTGGAAGTACAGTGGTTGCCCCCAAGGAAACACGTCTATGCAGTTGTTTGAGCTGCAAGTTGAATTAGCCTCTTCTTTCATGGAACACCAGTTTTACTGGAAAGAACACCTGAGAAACAAGCTATGGTTATTGGGACTCAGGTATTTGGCAGACATTTTCTCCAAAATGTACACAGTGATCCCGTCACTTCAAGGAAAACAACTGACAGTATTTGTTGCCAAAAACAAAATTTGAGCTTGATGGCTTCCTACTCTTTTAACGCTTTTCCAATAAAAACCAGTGGTGATATTACCAAATATCATTTTTGGGGGGTATTGTGTAATGAAATACATTAACATTGGGAAGATCTGCATAGTTCAGTGAACCAACCATTTCCAAATGACCAACACATGATGTTAAAAAAATCATGCATGTGGGGCGCCTGGGTGGCTCAGTCGTTGAGCATCCAGCTCCTGGTTTCGGCTCAGGTCATGATCTCGGGGTCATGAGATCAAGTCCCACATGGGGCTCTGTGCTGGGCGTGAAGCCTGCTTGGGATTCTCTCTTTCTCTCCCTCTGCCCCTCCCCCTCACTGCACGCGCACACACACTCTTTAAAAAAAAATCATGCATGTGTAAAATATCCATTTTTAGTCCAAGATAGACCAATAGATTTTAACTTATTAGAATATGAAAACTTCACTGACTTAGTTTCAGATTACACATTGCAGCCAATCTTTAAGAAACTACCACTTGTCCAGCTTAGTGTAGTATCAAAAAAGAATATTCACAAATATCTGGAAAGCCTATAAAACTCCTCCTCCCTTTCCAACTATGTATCTGTGTGAGGCTCTATCTTCATATACTTCAACCAAAACAGCAGAGGCAGCAGCCTGAATGCAGAAGCAGATGTGAGAATAAGTGGTCTTTTATAGCAGAAGTTAAAGTGATTTGCAAAAATGTAAAACAATCTCACTATTCTCATAAATTCTTTAAATATCATTATTTTTCATTAAAAATGTTATTTACATCGATATCCTAGAAGGTTTATTAGTATCGCTTTAAAAAGTATTCATAAGTAAGTACTTTTTAACTCTCTCAGTTTTGGGGCACCTGGATGGCTCAGATGGTTAAGCATCTGCCTTCGGCTCAGGTCATGATCCCAGGGTCCTGGGATCGAGCCCCACATCGGGCTCCTGGCTCAGTGGGGAACCTGCTTCTCCCTCTGCCTCTCCGCCTGCTCGTGCTCTCTCTCTCTGTGTGTGTGTGTGTCTTGAATGAATAAATAAAATCTTTAAAAATAAATAAATCTCTCAGTTTTGATGATGTGAAAAATATCCATAGATATGGGCACCTGGGTGGCTCAGTCGGTTAAGCCTCTGCTTTCAGCTCAGGTCATGATCCCGCGGTCCTGGGATGAGCCCCATGGAGCTCCTTACTCAGCAGGGAGCCTCCTTCTCCTTCTCCCTCTGTCTACAACTCTGCCTACTTGTGCTCTCTCTCTGTCAAATAAATAAATAAAATCTTTAAAAAAAAATAAAACTGATTTTTTTAAAATGTAATACGTAACCAAAGTTAACTTTCTTCCTAAAGCCTAAATGAGGAAAAAGCAGTTTCCCATTAAAAAAAAAGGAAAAAGGAAAAAGTCTTTTATGACTTTAATGATTTTCAATAGTCTAAAAACATTTTTTTTTTTAATTTAAAAAAGAGTGTAGGTCAAGGCACCTGGCTGGCTCAGTCATTAAGCATCTGCCCAAGATCCTCATCTGGGAGGCTGAATGCTTTACTCCTGTGCGGATGGGAATCCCTGACATCATTTATCATTTCAGGTACCCAGACAGAAATGAGGAAAAACATTGATCACACTCACAGTTCTCATCAGAATCCAATCAAGTATGGTAGGTTGAGAGTAGTTACCATAATTCTTTAGTGTTTTAGAATTCTGTTTTAAAATCTTTCATGGGGCCTCCTGGAGTGACACTGCTTGGGCTTTTGGCAGATTGCAGGCTTCTCCTCCCTTCCCTGACCACCTTCCCAATTTAAAACATCTTTGCTGTCAACTTTGGAACACTTACAATTCTTTCAGCAATTCTCCAGCAGTCTCTATGAAAGCAATTATCTAAATTTTCTTAATTCTTATCTAAATCTTCTACTGAGGGGTGCCTGGCCGATTCAGTTGGTGCAGCATGTGACTCTTGGTCTCTGGGTTGTGAGTTCAAGCCCCATGTTGGGTGTAGACATTATTTTAAAAATTACAATATTTAAAAAAAAATCTTCTACTGAGTCCTCACAACAAACCTGTGAGATTTATAAGAAACTGGGGCTCATAGAGATTATTACCCAAGTGACATTGTTAAAATGTAGTGGGTCTGGGATTAGAATTTAAGGTTTATTTCTGGCCAGGTACTTTAAACAAACTCTGTTATATCTTTTTTTTATTATTATTATGTTATGTTAATCACCATACATTACATCATTAGTTTTTGATGTAGTGTTCCATGATTCATTGTTTGTGTATAACATCCAGTGCTCCATGCAGAACGTGCCCTCCTTAATACCCATCACCAGGTTAGGTTACCCATCCCCCCACCCCCGTCCCCTCTAGAACCCTCAGTTTGTTTTATCTTAACCCGGTTCACAACATTGTGATTTCAAGTTAAATGTTCATATTGTGCTTATGGGGACTGCCTTAATTTCTTTTTTTTTTTTTAAGATTTATTTATTTATTTATTTGACAGAGAGACACAGCGAGAGAGGGAACACAAGCAGGGGGAGCGGGAGTGGGAGAAGCAGGCTTCCTGCTGAGCAGGGAGCCCGATGCGGGGCTCGATCCCAGGACCCCGGGATCATGACCTGAGCGGAAGGCAGCCGCTTTTAACGACTGAGCCACCCAGGCGCTCCGGGACTGCCTTAATTTCTTACAGAAAAGACTGTGCTCTCTACAAGAGCTTTCTCAGACTGTGAATAACGCGGGAACAGTGATTGGTAGCGGGAGGCACTCACTAAAAACGGATTTGTTGAACCCCACCAGTTAAGAAGGGAACATACGAACGCAGCCCCTAAGGGGCGCTGTCCTCGCCCAAGGACCTGTACCACCCGCAGGGCTAGGACTAAGCGCTGAGCGGTGGACTTGGCTCTCAGCCAGCAAAGAGCAGGCGGAGGCCCCGCCCCCAGCGCACGCGCATGCGCCAGGGGGCCCCGCCACCCCGCTCTATCCTACTCCGGCTCCCGCCGGCGTTCAGGTAGACGGCTGAATGCGGGGGAGGGGCGCCGCCTGAAGGCGGGGTTGGAGGGGGAGTCTCGGGTGTTTGGGCTCCTTTGTTAGAGCCCCAACAAAGGTTGCCCTAACTTCCGATACAAACCAGAGCTGTTCCTGCAGCTGCCCCTTCCCGGGTGGGGGGCAGTTCCTGGGTCTGGGGGCCTCCTAGGTGCTGCCCGTGACCAGCACGGACCTGCTTCTTTTTGTCGCACCGGTTCGGTGTCTCCGCACCTCTCCAGCTCCCGCACCCGTGGGCTTCCAGCCCGAGTCGGGTGACCCGGGTAGCTTGAGGACACGGGGCTTGGCAGGTGCCGAGAGCCTGCGCCTGGCCCCATCGTGCCGGGCTGAGCCACTCGGAGCCCGAAGCGAGGAGCCTCCGGGAGACTCCGTGCGGCCGCCTGCTCCGCTCGCGCGTACGCCTTCTGCTCCAGTTGCTTTCCCAACTGAGCGGAAAAGCCGGGGGCGTGTTGCCGGGGCACTGGGAAGAGGGCTGGCTCGACATTGCCGCCTGAAGTCCGCGGGGTGCACCTTCCCGCCCACGGGCCGTGCTGTCACCGACCCTGCAGCCCCCAGCCGGCCAGAGGGCACCCCATCCTGTCGTTACAGGGTAAAGGGACCAGAGACCGCTGAGTGGCCCCACCACGACCCCAGCCTTTAGGGGGGCTTTTAGCGCAACCCAGGGCCTGCAAAGGGGAAGTTTCTCCTGCTTACAGGTCTGCAACTATCCATAAACAGTTACACCCCAATGTGTGCTGAGCATTGGGAGTTACTTGAGTCAGTCCTAAGACTTGGGAGTCGGGTTGTTGGGGGTATGTGTCTAATTGAGTGTGTGTGTGGAAACTAACCCAGCACCTAGTGCCATGCTTGGCACCCAGTAAGCCCTCCCTAAACTTCGTGGCTGAATGAATGAGAAGGCAGGTGACTGAGGGAGCAGGGCTAGAGAGGGCATCTCTGCTTATCCCACCCCTGCCTCCCCTGGGCTCTGCAGACAAAAGTAATTAGGTCGAGCCTTTAATCACAGCTGGTTTCACAGGTGGGCAGACAAGGAAAAGCGGAGAAAAGCAGAAGTTCTGGGGACACAGCATGCTGGCTGGTGCTGGGTCACGGGCAGTGCCTCCCTCCGGGACCCCCTCCAGCCCCCACCGCTTCCCCCTCAGTAATCGGCTGTTTTCTTGTCTCCCTCAGGACACTGGGTTCCCTACAAGCCGCCCCAGGCTTAATGATTGTCCAGAAGGTGGCTATAAAGGGAGCCTGGGAGGCTGGGTGGAGGAGGGAGCAGAAAAAGCCTAACTCAGCAGATTTGGGCACTGAGAGAGCCACCGGCAGGAGCTGTGGCCAGAGGCTCCGTGTCCCCACCAGTGGGGCCTGCTCCCTTCCACCATGGCGGCCCAAGGCTACGGCTTTTACCGCGCTGTGATCTTCTCAGCCATGTTTGGAGGCTACAGCCTGTACTACTTCAATCGCAAGACCTTCTCCTTTGTCATGCCGTCGTTGGTGGAGGAGATCCCTCTGGACAAGGATGACTTGGGTGAGCCCTGGAAGGCGGGGGCGTGGGCCCTGGGACCCAGGACTGGTAGGACAAGTTGGGTGTCTGTGGCAGTGTGGAGGGTCTGTGCACAGCAGAGGACAGGGAGCGGCCTGCAGGTGCTGCCTGAAGGGACTGACCATGTACCTGTGGATGGGCGAAGAACTAGGTGTGTGCTCTCTGTGTGCCTGAGGAGCGCTGCTCATCTGATGTGTCTTTGTGGGCCTGTGACCCACGAGTGCCCCCAGAGGCATGGCTTATTCTGAGTGTGTTTAGGGGCACTCTGAGCACAGTTTCCACACTGCGTGGGGGCATGCTAAGACCGCGGGGTGCGTCTGGGGAGTTGGCAAAATAACTTCATGTGGCCCACCAGGTGACATTTTAGGAGGAAGAAGGCCCTTGACTCCACTTCTAAGCTCTTCACCCCATGTTCAGAGGTGGGGCAACAGAACTTCCAGAAGCCCTGGGTTGGCATCCAGTGTGAGGGGGAAATGTCATCAGGCCTTTGTAAATCCCAGGGAGGGGGGCTGCCCTGTTCTCCCTTCTTGCCTCCTGACAGCTGCAGATGGACCTCCCCAGGAGGCTGAAAAGGCATGGGTCAGCCTGGGGCTAGCGCTGGTGGTGAGGAGGAGCGGGGCCCTGTGATTCCAGCGCAGGCTCTTCCTAGCTGCCTGGGAGGGAACCTGTCTCACCCTGCCGGGCACCCCTACACACATGACCCCATGCCTTCCTCCATGCCTCCTGTGCCTTTGCCCGGGCCCCTGACTCCCCAGGTGTCCTGCTTCCTGCTCTCTCCCCCCACCCCTGCAGGGCTCATCACCAGCAGCCAGTCGGCAGCCTACGCCATCAGCAAGTTTGTGAGCGGGGTGCTGTCCGACCAGATGAGTGCTCGCTGGCTCTTCTCTTTGGGGCTGTTCCTGGTTGGCGTGGTCAATGTAGCGTTTTCCTGGAGCTCCGTGGTCCCCGTCTTTGCTGCTCTGTGGTTCCTCAATGGCCTGGCACAGGGGCTGGGCTGGCCTCCGTGTGGGAAGATCCTGCGGAAGGTGAGTGTCTGCTTCCGGGGAGCTGCTTTAGACTAGCACAGAGGATGCCTAAGGAGCATGTGGGAGTACCAGCACCCCCATCCCAGAGCAGGTTCCTTGGGAGCTCCAGTCTGGCTCCTATTGCTTGTCAAGATATTTTAGGAGCTAAGCATGGTGGGATCAGGTGGCTGATGAGGGCACTGGCCCTGCCAAGTAGAAGCGCCCTCTTCGGGGCGCCTGGGTGGCTCAGTTGGTTAAGCGACGGCCTTCGGCTCAGGTCATGATCCTGGAGTCCCAGGATCGGGTCCCGCATCGGGCTCCCTGCTCGGCGGGGAGTCTGCTTCTCCCTCTGACCCTCCTCCCTCTCATGCTCTCTGTCTCTCATTCTCTCTCTTGCAAATAAATAAAATCTTAAAAAAAAAAAAAAAGAAGAAGCGCCCTCTTCCTCACCCCTGTAACGTGAGCTCCTAGGTCTGCCCCACCTGACCCTCACCTTCAGCGTGTTTAACGTGGGGACCTACTCTGTCCCCCTCTGCCCCACAGTGGTTTGAGCCAGCTCAGTTTGGCACTTGGTGGGCCATTCTGTCCACAAGCATGAACCTGGCCGGAGCGCTGGGCCCCATCCTGGCGACCACCCTCGCCCAGAGCTACCACTGGCGCGGCACGCTGGCCCTGTCCGGGGCCCTCGGTGTGGCTGTCTCCTTCCTCTGCCTCCTGCTCATCCACAACGAGCCTGCGGACGTCGGACTCCGAAACTTGGACCCCACCCCCGCCAAGGGCAAGAAGGGTGAGCCCCCACCCAAGCTGATCATGGGGCCTGATTCATTCGTCGTTCATCGGGCAGACTCACTGAGGACTGGCTGGATGCCTGGCCCTGGGCTAGCCAATGGCTGTAGGGAGAGGGGCGGTGATGGCGAGTTGGTGGGGAGTAAATAAAACTCCGTTCCAAGAGGCACGTAAGTACCAGACAAGTGGCAGAGGCAACAAATGCTGTGACTCACGTTATATCCTGGTCCTTCCTCACGGCAGAGCCAGACTTCCCGCTCCTGGACAGCATCCTAAGCTTAAGTGGCTTGGGTGCTTAGTTTTTCTCTCATTTGCTGAGACTTGCGGTGGAGCGGACAGGGCAGAGCGGTGGCTGGAAGGGTACCTTCCTGCTGGTCCCTGGCTATGTGGATGGACTCTGGCCCTGTGGCTGGTTAATGAGTGGTGGGGGCTCAGTCGGGGCAGAACAGCAAGACCAGAGCCTGAGGCCTGGCCTCCTCCTGCCCCCAGGCTCCTTGGAGGAGGAGAGTACCTTGCAGGAGCTGCTGCTGTCCCCCTACCTGTGGGTGCTCTCCATTGGCTACCTCGTGGTATTTGGAGTAAAGACCTGCTGTACCGACTGGGGCCAGTTCTTCCTTATCCAGGAGAAAGGACAGTCAGTCCTCGTGGGTAAGATGAGTGTTGGAGCAGGGGGGCGCCTAGGGAGCAGGAATCAATTAAAGGGATGGGAAATTGAGGCCCAGCTTCTCTTTATCCCTTTCTTCCTTCCCTGAGGCCAGGCACCACCCAGACAGCTGTGGCCGGTCACCCTGGGGACCCTGTACCTCTCTGGGTTACAGCCAGTCTGGGACAACCCTAGTGTGTTTAACACCCTTCCACCCCTCCTTTCCCTCTTCCCACCACAACTCCCTACGCCAGGTAGCTCCTACATGAGTGCGCTGGAGGTTGGGGGCCTTGTAGGCAGCATTGCAGCTGGCTACCTGTCAGACCGGGCCATGGCAAAGGTGAGCGCGCAGAAGGGACAGCAAGGAGGAGGGTCCCTTTCAATCTCCCCAGCATGACCGGGACAGGCACCAGAGAGGCGGGAGCCCTGGGGCAACAGGCAGGTTGGCATATGGGTGGGGGGAGGTTGGAATGATTCCAGGCTACTCTCACTTGCTGAGGGTGTGGAGGCAAGGTAAGGCTCCTGGGGAGAGGGTTTTAACGGATGTCAAGGAGAGCTAGAATTTCTCTCAGCCTGGCAGTGGGCTTCTCTACAGCCCCAGGGCAACTGGGGTTGAGGAGAGGCTAGGTGCAGCTTGCCAGCATATGTCCCCACGGTGGAGGAGGGGATGTGGTGGAGTTTGGCCTCAGAATATAATGAGCAGGTCCCAGGGCCTCCCAGAGCTGCCCCGGGCCAAGAACTGTGGTGGGATTGCCAAAGACCTGTCAGCAGAAGCCCTGCCGTGTCAGAGTCCAGAGGCGGAGGTTCTCTGCTGCTTTTAGGGCCTGACATTGCTGGGCCTGTATCCACAGGCAAGGCTGTCCATCTACGGGAACCCCCGCCACGGCCTGTTGCTGTTCATGATGGCTGGCATGACCGTGTCCATGTACCTCTTCCGGGTAACTGTGAGCAGTGACTCCCCCAAGGTAAATGAGGCGGGCCTGGCCCGCCGCCGGCACAAGGATGAGAGAGCAAGGGCCACTGACTGTCAGGCTCCCTGTCCCTGGCTCCACCCTGGCCCAGGCCTTTCTCTGCCTCTCAGATTTCCCTTTCTAGTTCTGGTTTACCGCGTGTCCTCTGTACTTTGGTGCTCCTCCTGGACCTGGGGCCCGGTTTTCTTCTCTTCCCTGTGCTCCTCTAGGATATTGCTTTCTGGACTTCAGCTCTTCACCCACTCGCTGAGCTCACAGGCTTTACGGAGCATGAGGTGCCTTATCTGTGGTTTTCCTCCTGGTTTGTCTCCCCCTGTCCTACCCTGTCTGCCTTGCCCTAGCATCAATTCTGAGAGAGCGCATCTAACTGGGAGGGATGGCTTCTGTCGCTCCTTCACCTACCCACCCAGGCCCTCAGGTTGGCTCAGTGTGGCCCCACTCCTCTAGCTTGGCCTTGTCAGTTTTATCAGGAAGCGGGATGAGGGTGGTCACTTACTGTCTCCTTACTACAATCATCTGTTCCCAGGGCCAAGCATTTTTCTCCCCTCTGGCAGTGGTAGGTAGGTAGGCTTTCTCAGACTCTAAATGCTACCCTGCACCGTCCTTGCAGCTCTGGATCCTGGTGTTGGGAGCTGCGTTTGGTTTCTCTTCTTACGGTCCCATTGCCTTGTTCGGAGTTATAGCCAATGAGTGCGCCCCTCCCAACTTGTGTGGCACCTCCCACGCCATTGTGGGACTCATGGCCAATGGTAAGTGGTGCCCTCCAGAGTGTCTACCTCTCCCCCACTGTGCCTTGCACATAGGCTAGCTAGAGGCTGGGGCCAGCCCCACTGACTCTAGCCTCCCAAGTGACCTGGGCTCTCCCCTCCTCCTTGGCAGTGGGCGGCTTTCTGGCTGGGCTGCCCTTCAGCACCATTGCCAAGCACTATACCTGGAGCACAGCCTTCTGGGTGGCTGAAGTGATCTGTGCGGTCAGCACTGCTGCCTTCTTTCTCCTACGAAACATCCGCACCAAGATGGGCCGAGTGCCCAAGAAGGCTGAGTGAAGAGTACAGGCTCCAGTGCATCCTCTCCCACCTGTGGCCTTCCCCCTACACGGGGCTGCGGGGAGAGGGGGGCAGAGAGAAAGAAAGAAAGGGGGGCTGCTCCGGCTAGCATTGAACCTTTGATTTCCTCTTGTGCGCCTTTCCCTCGCCCAGGTGGTGCTGGAAGTTACCAGTGGCTAATGAGGTCCCAGCTCCCCATCCTGTGTTCCATTTAAAAGGCAACTTTTGTTCTTGGACTCCACTAGCTCCTATTTCCTGCCTTCAAACAGGAAACCCCTGCAGTCAGGGAGTCCCCTAAACCCTTCTTCCCCTCCTGGGCCCTCCCACACCATCGCCAGTAGAGTGAGGCTCCTCCTGCCGCTGCAGGGTACCAGGGACCCATGATTGCTGCCCCAAGGCCTCTTAGCACTGGCAACGGCTATTGCCAATACCTTCGATTCCAAGGGGAGAGGAGGCCATCACGCTCACCAGTACCCTGTGGGGACGGCGGGGGGCGTGGGGTGTGGGTGGGAGGGAGGAGGACTTGACACAGATTAAAACTAGATTTGATACTAAATACTATCAGGGAGTCATTCTTTCCAAAGGGGTACTACAAGCCAGAGACTGCTTTCTTTGGAAGATATTCTCTTGATACCTGCTTTTTCCACCCCAAAAGGGGCAAACTTCATCTCCTTGGGATGGGAAACCTGACATGGACGCCTTCAAGTTTATGGCTCCTTTGCCTTCAATTTCATTAATTCAATGATCATTTTACAGATGAAGCACTGGGTTTCTGGCAGATGTAACCATTCGATGGAGGAAGGCAGTGTAACAGTGGCTCCCGGAGAGTGTAGTCAGAGAGCCTGGCTTAAAACTCAGGTGCTTAGTAACTAGCTCTGAGACTCTGAGGCAGAGAGTCTGTACTTTGGTAAATCTATTGTCCGTAACAGAATGCATCCCAAGATTAGGGTGAGGGTTAAGTTAAATAAAGCAGTAAAGCCTGGCTGTAAACACCTGATAAATACCCCACCATCATCACCACTGCCACCAGCACCTTAGAAGTCAGCAATTCTGGAACTAGACCCAAGGCTCCTGACTCAAAGCCCCATGCTCATTCTTCAGTGAACAATTACTTGTTTTCTACTAGAACGGATCTCATCTTCCCAGAATCCCCTTATCATTCCTGTCTCCCCACCAGAGCCTTTTCCCCCCAAACCATTAATGAGGATAGCGAACACAGATCAAAGGAATGTTTATTAAGCATTTATGGGCCTACTCCCTCCATAAATAAACCTGTACAGAGTTGGGAAGTAGGCTCACGGTAGATACAGGAGGGCAGAGAGCATGGCATTAAGGCTCGGGGATCGGTACATGTCATCAGGCTCAGCACCCTCCCATTTTCAAGTACACTAACGAGGCTGCGGGGATCTCCACTGGAGTGGATACAGCAGGATCCCTGCTGTAGGATCTCTCAAATGTGGGGGATCCATTGTGGGCTCAGCCTATGACCCAGGTCCGAAAGTTCCAGCCTTCTCTGCCACCTCCAGGGCTAACTTCAGGTTCTGGTCAAACAGCTCACACCTAGGCCAGACCCAAGAGGCACAAATGAGGACAAAGTGTGAGGTCTCAGACTCTCCTCCCCATCCTTGGGTGCCGAGGTAGAGCCAGGGGAAACTTGCTTGAAGGACATGAATGACAAGAAAAATCTTTGGTTTCTCAAAATAGCAAGAAAAGATTAGCTCACTTTTGTTTTATTTAAAAGTAACTCTTCGGGCGCCCGGGTGGCTCAGTTGGTTAAGCAACTGCCTTCGGCTGGGGTCATGATCCTGGAGTCCCGGGATCGAGTCCCACATC